ACTAAAATGTTAATTTCAACATACTAAAAACACCATCAGAATTCCGTCAAATGTTTCCCAAAGTCCAGGAAATGGCATTTCAAAGACTCTAAATTTATAAATTTCCTCGGGCCTTCGGCCCTCGCTTTCAGCCCCCCCCCCAATCGAAAAGAGCTTCCTACGGCCCTATATATATATATATATATATATATATTTAACAATTATACCATTCGCTCTCGTCGTATATGAGCTGATAGCCGACGAGGTGCGTATAGCACCGAGTCGGCTATCAGCCATATACGACGAGAGCGAATGGTATAATTGTTTTATAATATAGTCTAATATAGCCATTAACTGAAGCAGTAATTAATTATTCACTGTTACAATGTGTTGACAATTTTTTTCGGCCAAAAACCGCTTGAAAATTTGAAATACTTTTGTTTTGCAACTCGAAGACGAAGTGAAAAGAAATGAACCTCTGATAAGAGGAAAGCTCAGATATATTATACAGATGTTTGGTACTATAGTAACTGCAAATTCATTTGTCGTTCATTGCAAACTTTTCTGAACAATTTATATTCTCAATGAACATGTTTTTTCGCTGTTGTTTCGGTATTAATTCTTTAAAAAAACTTGTATTTAAACTAATTTCTACGTAATAAATGTATTTTGCTAACCTGTCAAATTTTTTTTGAGAGTTTTTCCTTGTACTATTATGTTTTTCAAAGCGAATATTTTCCTTTTTCTGCTTCGCAAAACTCATGTAGTTTTTGGACCGCCATCTTGTTTTTTGCTACTCGCCGTATATGAGCTGATATACGGCGAGTAATTCAACCAATCAGATTGCAGAACAGCTCATATACGGTGGATGACTATATTATAAATATATATATACTATAATATATATATATATATATATATATACTATAATATATATATATATATATATATATATATATATATATATATATATATATATATATATATATATATATATATATATATATATATATATATATATATATATATATATATATATATATATATATATATATTAGGTATGTTATTATACGTAATATAAGCTTCAATTTAAGGTAAAATTCAACCACAAACGCTTCGCAAAACGTTTTAAAGTGTTCTTTTAATATAGAACTATAAAACTGCCTTTATCGATAAACTTTGAGTTCGAAATAAAATGATTCCAAATTCTCCCATGCAAATAACTTTGCTTAGTATAATAAAAAGTGTAATCAATAAAGAAACACTGAAATAATACGCTGTCTTGTTTCATATTTATACACAACGATCGGCTTTTAAAGTAATTACAGTAGGTATGTTATTATACGTAATATAAGCTTCAATTTAAGGTAAAATTCAACCACAAACACTTCGCAAAACGTTTGAAAGTGTTCTTTTAATATAGAACTAAACTGCCTTTATTGATAAACTTTGAGTTCGAAATAAAATGATTCCAAATTCTCCCATGTAAATAACTTTGCTTAGTATAATAAAAAGTGAAATCAATAAAGAAACACTGAAATAATACGCTGTCTTGTTTCATATTTATACACAACGATCGGCTTTTAAAGTAATTACAGGCGAGATTACAGTATATTAAAAGCAAACAATGCATCAATATTTAAAACAAACTTACCTTCGTTAACGTCGGCACCTTTACTTCCTTCTTTTAGCAATCCTCTTGCCTTTATTTCATCAAAATCCTTTGCAATTTACAAAATCTTGCAAAAATGAAATATATTTGCAAGAAATCATCAAATCAATTTCGCTGTCGTCAATCGTCATGCAGCCGTTATAATGCCAATTTTAAATTGGACCAATCAGTGTTGGCTATTCATTACAGTCCACTATATTATGAGATCAGTGAGGATGACCACCCACCGAAACACGCACAGTGACCCACGCCCGCGATATTTGATGAACTTGAGACTTCGCTAATGCTTCCCTTCCCCGGGTGTAAATAGCCGGGGGGGAATTAGTACCCTCGCACGGCGCTTCGCGCCGTCGGCTCGGGGATAATAGTGTTTTTGTGTGTTATATGCAAATCAGTCTTCATGATTGCATATGTAGAGTTTTATAAAGTTTTGTTGACACTCTATTACATCAACCACTTGTCATGCCAGCGACAACTAACGACCAAATGGAAATTAGGCTTTAATGAAGGCTCAAGCCTGGTGTTTGAATTTATTTGATAGTAAAATTAGAGTATAGTGACTGCGGAAAGAGTCTAAAGTGAAGGTCTCTAGTATTGTTAAGGTCGACCACATTCGTAATAAATCTATATTTGTCAAAAAATTGTCAAGATGAATTGAGTATACTAAGAAAAATCTTTTTATAAAATAAAAATTAGCGCGTCGCCAACGTCGTTCTCAAGTTGAATTACTTCAAAGTCGACTATACGCCAACTTGAAACGCTATTTTTCCCAAAGTATATAACGCCAGTTGTGTAACAGGGTGGACTTTCGTCGACGCTGCATAAAAATAGTGCGGGCTCGTGAGCTTTTTCCCGCAAATTTTGTTTTTCGATGTTTGGCTTACAATTTCTAAGGATGTTGAAGTTTTGTGTATTGCGATTCACTGGTTTTTGAAACTGAAGCAATGGGGTAATCATTGTTGGAAGTTATATACTAACTCTTCAACAACCTAATGACTGCATGTTTTTAACGCAAAGCAATTGAAAGGAAAACTTACTGTATATTTTCATACGAAGAAGATGAGTGGCGATATTTATGTTGTACTGTTTTGAGAAGATGCTTCGAAGAACATGATATGATCGGACCTTGTATTTTAAAAGTGTACTTGGAACAGCCGAACAAAGTGGTAAATTGTGTTACCCGGTGTGTTGGGCATCATAATTCACAAGAATAGTACACAGTGGCGTTTGAACTGGCTATGAAATATCGTGAATACTTCGTCGAGTTTTCTACCGCCCTGTGACCTGTAGTTTAATGTGGCACGCGTCATTGAAAGGGCTTTACTTGACTTTAATCGACGTGTAAGGTATAACTTAGGTAAGCCAACATTTCTTTGTAATGCAAGCTACATTTTCATATCTTTAATGTGTGAATATTTTTAATTTTGTAAAAAAATAAGCGCCATATGTTGTTGGAGAAAGTATCCAATGCTTCATAATAACGCTCAGATCTTATTTTATTCAAAATTTCAGATTCGTATTTATTTCAAAATCTACCCTTTATCACCACTTTTTTTATTCTTTTATGTTAAAGTATACATAACCCTTGACTTAAAAACACGATGATCTACTCGAGGAAAATTGGGCAAAGGGGCGATCTTTGCAGAGAAACTTGACCGTTCGGTGAAATTGGTAGTTCAGAGACCCTATTTTCATTTGTAGTATTTCGTGGCAATTTGTTGGCCGATTTCTAGTTTATATTGTAGAACGGGTTCCTAGTGAATTAAATTAATTGTCTATCCTCTACAGTGTAGTAATAAGCGCGACTCCTTTTTGTTGGCGGATTTTGAATTCATTTTAGACTTTTGTTCATAAACAACAACTACACTACCGAGTACTAAATCACTGTTTGCAAAGAAATGAGCCTATATCACCACAAAAATTCAAGCTTATTTTTAGAGTCAAATAGTTTTTCCATGGATAAAAGTAGTTTTTAGGGAGTGAAAAATAGGACAAGTACGAATTTAAAGAAGGTCAATTTGCACTTGTATACTCAATTCGAAAAGGATATACATATTAAAAACAGGTATATTTGCACTGCGAAATTAAACTGCTGCAACAAAGTTTTTATTTCTACTTTCACGTTCTTATTACAAAGCAAACACTTCTAAGTTGGAAATGCCTAAAATTGTGAGCGTAGAACACTAAAGAAACAAGAAAACGACTTCATAACACGAGTAGTTTTGGCAAATTTGATGTTTGTTTTTATAATTCAGTCACGCGATTAACCCGCGCTCACGTGCACTCCACGCTTACGTTTTTCGCGCATGCGTAGACGAATGTCCACCCTGTTCAGTTGTGTAATTTTTGTGTCGCCTGTGTGATAATTCAAACCCTGTAGATTTTGTTTCACATCAGTGAGATACATTTTATTTTTCAGCAAATAATAATATCTGATTATTGTTCAAACATGTGAACAGCCTGCACGACGAAACCACCAATAATACATCACAAATTTATTAAGAATTTTCTTTCTCTTAATTTAAAATTGAAGGACTATTCACCGCTGATCAGAAACTGAAGGGCCAGACAAGTATTTACACTCGTCAAAATGCGAATGGTGGTCGTAGTGGTTATGAATGTCCCGAAGAACGTGATTACTATCCTTACTGGCATCCTACAGATTGGATTGATATAGCGGTGTTTGCTTATAATGAAAGCATGTGTCAATATTATCGCAAAGAAAGTTTCAATGCCAAAAATAAAGGTTAGCCTCGTATGCCTTATCTTTGACCATCCTTATTCAACCTGACTTTGTGTTTGCTGCATGGCAAGACCCGGTTTACACTTCCAATTTTTCTTGCCACATTTATAGTGCGATTTTCTTCTCATCGCGTGCATGTGAAGTATTATATGAGATATGAATGTTCTGAGTATATGTTTCCACTCGTTTACACCCATCAGAAGAAGAAAATCGCTTTGTAAACCGCGGCAAAAACTGCAAGTGTAAACAGGCTAATATGATCGTGTCATTATTAGCAGAATATTTTAACGCTGAGATTGAAGTTAAGTAGCTGGAATTTCTTTCCTATGAAATTATTTGAGTAATAATATACATAAATATATTACTCGACTGTGATTGATTGATTTCAGTACAGTTAATCCCAAATAGCATGCGTGCAATTTTCTGTAATCACAGTGCATTTTTTTGCAATTAGAGTGCAATTTTTTGTAATCAGAGTGCAATTTTCTGTAATCACAGTGCAAAAATCTGTAACAACAGTATCTGATTGATGGAAAAACAATGTGATGATAAATTTCACCAATTAGTTTAAAGCAGTTTAGTTTAAAGAAGCAACGTGCAACGGTCACAGATTGCTTCAAAACAAAACAAACATGGCGCCGCGCTACATATATTAAAAGTTGACTTCGGTATGGAAAAATGGCTTTTATCTTTTTTTTTAAATGGAAAAGCCTTTACATTAAACAAGACTAACAAAACTTAAATAGTTGAGTGGAATTTTCAAGCTGTTAGCGTTGTATAATGTGATATATAACAAAGCCAGGAAAACTTTGCCAGTGGAATGTTTGCTAGATCGAAACGCGTAAGTTAAAACTACAATTGTCTCGAACATTTTTATGTAAATTATTAATAAGTAATGGCATGGTTTCGAGTGAAATTTCGATAAACATGCACTCGTGAGTTTTTCAAAGACCTCAAATAGCACTCGTCCTTCGCACTCGTGCTATTTTGAGGTCTTTGAAAAACTCACTCGAAACCATGCTATTACCTATACTTAGTAAACAGAATTGGTTTTACAGTTGTTACTGTAGCTATCGCCTTTTTTATTTCGCTTACTGGGGTCGGATTTCTGCAATATGAAGTTGTCCAATTGTAACTTCGCCTCTGTCGTCTGGATGTGTGAAGAATCCTGAGCTCATCCTGAATCACTCAATTTTCCAGGTTAGCGCTCCGGTTTCCAATTGTGGTAATATTGGACTATTCTATTTGCTGGATTACAATTTATATAGATCTTCTGGTAAAACAGTAATTAACTGAGTGAATTTGCCAAATAATGTAGCTAACAAGTTTACATTTAACAATGAATTTTATTTTTTATCTCATCACTGTGGTATTAACAGCCATTATAATATCTAAGATTTATTACTAATGCAGCTATTAGGATTCCAACATCAACTATGCGTCATGAACTTTGATAATCTTTCGAATTTATCTATTTCAATTTATTTTACTATTCCTCGAGAATAATATTTGGTGACAATGACGTACTATATTAAATATTTTTTGTTATTTCTAATTTGACATGAAGCTCTGAATTAGCTTGACGCGAGATTTATAACCATTCCACACACATGCATTTCTCAAAATCCTTATTTCTTTGTTCGCAGGGGAGTGTCTTCAATACTACAATTCGAAAGCTGACGGTTTTCGCCATAACTCGGTTTATAACAACAAAATTGACTGCGAAAAAAATCAAGGCTTCTGGATTTCATTCAGCAACTATTTAGAAGAATACCCCAAGTATCAAACAAAACAAGAATGTACGGCTGCAAGTTCTGACGAACTCCGTCTTACCTGGGCCATTCCATACCGTTCCGAAGATATTGACAACTTAAAAATGACTGATGATAGTGTCGAATCATTAAAACGTTGTTTGGTCGCACTTGATGCACCAGAATGCACGAAAGCTCCATATACAAGATCAAACCATTTAGGAAATGCCCGTGGTGTGGTTCCTCTACGTTACACTTGGACTCTTCCACATTTCCCTTCTGGACATGCACAAAGATGCGTCCTTAGATTAAGGTTAGTTTTAAAGTTACAATATTTAATTTTTCCTGCTATTAATAATTAAGTATATAATTAGTAACGGGAATTTCGGGAAAGATCACTCGTAAAACTTCGTTCAACACAAGATAATCATGCATTTAGACCTGTTCATTTTTAGATATTGTAATTAATCTTGCCCCTCGTTATGATTATTTGTGTCATTTTATGACATTGTATGCTGTGCGGCTTTCTTTTGATCAAATTTGATAAAGGTCAGGAGCTAGGTGGAACAAATTTTCCATTTCCGTGGTTACAATAATTCCAGATCATCATGCGATGTTAAAAAAAAACCTTTTTACTCCTTTTCTTCTTTGTTCAGGTACAACATTTCCACTGGAGATTATCCACCATTTAACACATTTAGCGATGAAAATGATAATCCGTAAGTATTCATTTGTCGTACAATCATGATAATTGATAACTAGGTATGTGCACGTGCGGGTTGTCGAACTTGTTCAAAAGAAGAAATTCCAAAAAGAAAAATTAAAAAAGAAAAATATATATGACCTTGCAAGTTAAAGAACGGAAGAAATTAAATAAGTATATTTTATAATGATAGAAGAGTCAAGCGTGTATCTTGAGCCAACCATTAGACTTTACAAACAAACGCATAATGGCAACCGCGTATGCGAGATTACTATAAGATATATATATATATTATTTTGTTGAAAACCGCAGGATTTCTTCCAGTTGGGGCCACTGTTATTTGTAATGTATAGATGGTGTATCAAAAAAAGGTAATCTAACTTCAGCGCGCTATTGTGCGTACTCGGCGTATGTATTGTACTCGGCGTATGAACACATTTTTTTCATATTCGGAAAGATCAGGCTTTTAGCTATAGAATGACATGTTGTTCATACCAAGTGGAGAAAAAATAAGCAAGCTAGTACAGTACGAGTCCGATAAAAAATGTCAGTCAGAATCGCATATTTTCACCTCTGGGCCTAATTAAAGCAGTGCATGTTTACAAAACAAAAAGCAATTAATCACGAACTTGTCAGAGCTTATAGATAAGACATGTATGTAGTTTAATGAAGTGAAATTCGCCAACTTAAGCCGTAAGGGGGTTAATTTTCAATGGTTTTAGACTCAACTCTCAGCGGTGAAAATATGCGATTCTGGCCAACCTTTTTTAGGGAGCATTCATTTTTTAGCTGGGGGGGTGGGGTGGACGGGAGGAACTGATGTCTAATTCCATGCTAAAACTTGGAACCCCCAAGAGAAAAGTTGATAAAAAATTATGACCCCCTATTTTTTTACTGAAAATTTTTTTGACCCCTCATCCTAACTATTAATAATCCACACGGTGTCGTTTCCGTAGCGTTTCAGGGCCGTAGGAAGCTCTTTTTGATTGAGGGGGCTGAAAGCGAGGGCCGAAGGCCCGAGGAAATTTTTAAATCTAGAGTCTCTGAAATGCCATTTCCTGGACTTTGGGGAAGATTTGACAGAATTCTGATGGTCAGAAAACAGCGTTTTAGTATGTCGAAATTGACAATTTGGTAGTGGGCGAAGGCGTATTTAATTAACTATATATTGGATAACTAGGATAAGTTGCAGGAAACTGTGGGTAATATCTTCATTCTTTGCAGTTTGTTATGGATAATGTAGCCGCTTAAAATTAATAAAGCTTAAAATTGATAAAAGGTCATGATGAAATGCATGCAGACCTTGAAACCATGCATGATTTTGAAATCATCCTACGGTCCTGCGTTTTCTTTCATTCATGTTTTCACACAAAAACTGATAAAAACGAGGTCAATGACAAACGTCATGGAAATGTTTTCCTATGGACTGTGTGAACAGAGCGTCGAATGAATTTTGCTTCATTGTTAAAGATGACGAGATAGTTGATAGTTTCTAGATCTTTTTACCATTCTTCATCCAAATATTTCCAAATTCTATAAAATTATATTGGTGACTTTTTCACTGATTATTTTTATGACCCCCTCCATTCATACCAAAACTATAAAAAGACCCACCCCTTTGAAGCATGTCAAAATTTGCTGACCCACCCCCAAATTCCTCCGGCCCACCCCCCCATCTAAAAATGAATGCTCCCTTATCGGATTCGTAGTTGCTCATTTGTCATCAGATGCAATAGCTCGCTGAAGTTCTGATTACCATTTTTTATACACCCTGTACCGTTTAATTTTGAAATTTATTGACAAACTTTCATTCACCTCACCCTACTCTCAGGTTGTCTTTCAAACCTGCGAAACCAATAACTACCGAAAAAAGTTCTATTCTCAAAGAAATTATTTATTTATAAGGACTAACGGTATACATTCTCCAGTCCAAAACAATCCAAAAGTGAAAGTTAGTGCTGCTCAGCTGCCATTACAACTTGCCATCAACACCGCTCAATTTGGACGTACTTTCCAAGATCGATCTCACTTATTCAAGCTCCTGCCCAGACCTAAAGCTGTATCAGAATATGACGTAATCTACAATATCAACGTACGTGGAAAGCGCGGGAATATCGTGCAAGCTTTTCCAGCAGTGGAATATGACTTTATTCCGAAACGATTGAGTATTACCAGCGCAAGTCTTGTGCATATCCAATGGACTGGTGAGTTTTAGTTAGTTTATAAAATGTTTTGAATTTTTTTGTGACTGTGTGCATGGCCTTTTTCAAATACGATATAAGAGGATGACACCAATTTGGCGTTCGCCCGTTTATATCAGGACGTATAATTTGCCAGAAAGTAGGCGACTTTTACTGGTACACGAATAACAAACCTTGTACATTTTGTAAAGTTTAAAACAGTTTTATGTCATATTTTCAAAATACTGCCAAGTGTAACTTCGGTCATGAGTTTGATCTCTTTCTGTTTTGGCATCTTTGATGAAATGGTGTGCAGTTCGTTCAAAAAATGCTTCATTTTGATTGGTTCATCAGCAATCTGAAAACAACAATGTACGGTCCGATAAGATGGAAGCCACGGCTCGGTCCGTATAGAAACGAAGATACATGTACTTGTTAATAAGAACCACTAACAACATCTAGCTCAGTCAGTAGCATAGACATCATATATGACTACATGTCAGAAATTGTGTTAGAAATGCATTTAAAACTGCATGGTGTACCTCGATTATAACACCATTACAGTAACTTTACCAAACAGATATATTTATGCCAAAATCACCATCTCTTTCATTCAAAGGATCAAATACCAATCCTAGTGCTAATGCCGGACAAGGAACTGCAGGTATGCATGTTTAAATTAACTATTTGATACACTATTTTTGCTATTTTGTATTAAAGTAACAATATACATGTATATAAATGTGAATAAAAAATATTTGTAGCAATATTTGTTAGCGACTGAAATGTTTCATGTTTGATCCACTAATACCCCACAACCCCAATCTTGATCCATTGGTCACTCGGTCCCATCAGACGTTGCTCATTCGTCTTCCTTTTCAGTCAAGCTCCCAGCACGTCCCTGATTAGTAGCTTTTACGTCTGTTATTCAAATAAAATATTCTAATGCGTAACGATAGTTTATTCTAATCCTGGTTATTATTATAGGATGTAGACAGCCTCTGGAACAGTTGAGAGACATACCTAATTTTTCTTCGTAATTTGTTTGTAGGTACAGATCGTCACAACATGGTGGAGATGGCCGACCCATCCGTGAACTATCCTTTAACCTCAGAAAAGCCATTAACAATGTTCACTAACGCTGAAATCGTTTGGACAAGTGATGAAGAAACGAAGACTAAACAAGATCTTATTTTGAGTATGGCCTCCTCTGGCTACTACAACAGCATGACGCTCTGTAAGGCTTCTCCACAGAAAACAGCGCTTAACGACGAGTTAAACAATGGTCCAGCATCTTATCGTGGCATGCTATTGAGGTTTGCACCAGGAGAATATTACTACATGTGTACAAGAAACAACAACTTCAGTAATCGTAACCAGAAAGGAAGACTCGTGGTCAGAAATGTGACAGGGAGCAAGCTAAGCAAGAAGTAAGCACATTGGGTATGTAGTACTATAAAGAAATATTAGCTTGTCTCTGTCTCACTGACGTGAAACTCCAGGACCATATTATCTTGTAATCATAGGAAACTAGGTTGATTTCGACATTGGGAATGAAATTTAGGTTGATAAGCGTACATAGTACTGTATATTATTGTGCAAGTGCACAACTTTCGCTTTCGTTTTATTGATAAGGTACTTCTCGTACAATTGTTAGTACAAAATTGATTAATTCCTTTAATACATGCATATTAAAGTCATTTGTTTCAAATTATTTTTTCGATAATAAATGGTTAAATTAAACTGTCATGATTTTTTAGCAATTACGAACCTTTCCTATGACACGAAACTAAAATCTCCGGAGACAAAATAGGGAAAGACAGTTAATTAATAAAACTAATAATACTTCTTTCTGGTAATACACCCGAATCAGTCTAATGACGTTGTCCTTTAAACTGGTAATTTGTATTGTTGAATTTGTGTACGTACAATTCGTTTGTATATCGTGGGGCTTTTGTCCAAAGAGTGCATGGTCATAGAGAATGAGAAGAGACAAGCTGGAATTTTTTTAATAGTACATCACACAACATACCTTGCTTGATATATTCGCATGTGCTAGATACGCATGCTAGACTACTTATTTTGACTTGAATTATGAATGGGGATTGATTTTAGTGTACTGTAATCTACAAAGACGATACTATATAAATATAGATCATAATAATCATGGGAAACTTTAAATTATTAATATTTGATCACTGTTGCACCAATGTCTTTTGTTTAATTTTGGCGAACGTTTCAACCGATATGGTGATATTTCCTAAAAGTTGACTTTGATTTTTATCTGTATCACGGAAATGAGGCTGATCTAACAGGAACCTGATCTAACAGGAAACCATCGAAGTTGCATTCATAGTTCTTCTGATGCGAGAATTCGACACCCACTTCTTCTTTAGCAATTTGTTTCTTCCAGTTTCCCATTATATACTGTAACCTAGATATTACTTACTCCGCCATCAATCACCCATAACGTGGAGACGTCGGTAATTCATAGCTATATGGTTCTTTCAGGTACTAGTTCAATGCAATGAGCCGTACGCCTTTAGTTAACTTTATCTACGAGAAAAAGTCACGCTGGTAAAAGTCAAAGTCAAACATTATAGCGATTTATGACCTTTGAGAAGTCAAGCGATATCATATTTCATTAAATTTCCCGAACTATGTAAACTAGCCGTACCTTTCCCCGAACATAACTTCGGCCCCCTGGGACGTATTTTCTTTTTTACACCCTTGCTGTAATCGTTGTAAAAACACTATTCAGAGAGTCAATCACCGAAAATAGAAGCTTGACCCGTCAAAACAATGCGCGTTTGCATCCTGGGAGTCTGGCAACACCAGAAACCGATTCTACATGTCAAAGTACTCCCTATTTGCACGTGCATCCAGTTAGTGCTTCTTTTTTTATGGCCAAATATGCACGTCGCACGCGCGTGCGAGCAAAAACCAGGTATTTTGAAAATATCAAAATAATATTTCTTCTCGCTGTATTCAAGCGAAATCTTCCACATGAAAGCACTTGAGTTCAAGGAGTATTTTTGTCCGATTGACTTGGGGCGAACACCGAAAAGTTTAGAAGATATTCTAGTTTTATCTGGAAATGAAATAACAAAATGTTTGTGCAAGGCCCAAGGCGAGTAAATGTAGGATCGATCATTTTGGTTGTGTAATGTTTTGGCGGCATTCATACCCCCCGTTGAAAATATTATTTTGTGAGGATTTCAACGGTGTTTTTCTTTTTAAAGACGGATAGTTCCTTGCTGAGATACTTACCAAAAACGATTGAATCGTAAAAAATCACATTTGGACTGGACTAGCTAACTAAGTGTTGCTAAAGTGTTGGACATGAATAGGTTGAAAGTGAAATTCGATTGGATTCCCTACCAGAATACATCGAGGTTAAATAAAGTATACTTAAGATGGCTTCCTGCAATTATAGTAGACCTCGCGACCCACGCGTGGCATCTTCGTGGCCCGGTAAAAGTTTTGAAAATAGCCTTTTCTGCAGGCATGGCCTTCAGATTATCGGGCAAAATTTGCTTGCAGGAATAAAAAATTGTAGCTTCGATGCCTGCCACAGACCGAGGACTTTGGATAGTATGTGGCCCGACTATGTTACCCCCACCCCCATGGGATTAATTTGTAAACATCAAAACTACTACAAAATGTCGAAAGCTGTGTTACCCCTACTCCCATAGGACACGATCTCTTTATATTCAGACACAATTCGAAAAACTATCGATCGAGGATATCATTTCTCTGTTGGAAATTGTTACAAGTATGAATGAAACATTGATTATTTTTCACTTACAACAGATGGCCGGAATTGAACGAAATCAAAATGGTCAAACCAAAGCCGAAACTGTGTAAATCGTATGATTCGAGCGACAAGTGTGAAATGTGAATATAATTTATAAGAATTTTTGCAACCATTCAATTTATATTTGGTCTGTGCTTACATACATATAATATCAAACATTAATACTGTTGGGGAACGGAATACTCTAGAAGGCAGATGGAGTGGTAAATGTCGAAATTTCAACTGGATAATGGATGCTCTTGCCTTTTGAAATTGTCGATTGATTACTGTTATACAATTTAGTGGATGTTATATTGAAACTGGTTTGCAAAGAACAAACTTCAAATATACAATCACATGTGATTTTACGCGGTACGTTACTCGTTAGGGAGAAATATCTCAGCCCCATGGATTTGTTGAGTACATGTACAGCATGTAAGTATAGGTAGTAGCATGCATGGTTTCGAGTGCAATTTGGATATAAAATGAACGAGTGAGTTTTTCAAAGACCTCAATATAGCACGAATCCGAAGCCGAAGGACGAGTGCTATTTGAGGTCTTTGAAAAATTCTCGAGTGCTTGTTTAGCCAAATTTTACGAGAAACCATGCTATTACTTATTAATAACTTACATAAAAATGTTCGAGACAATTGTGGTTTTAACTTACGTTTTATGGAACCGTCCACTTGCAAAGTTTTTCTGGCTTTGTTATATCACCTTATTCAACGCTAACAGCTTGAAAATTCCACTTTAGACTAATATAAGTCTTGTTTAAGATAAAGACTTTTCCATTTAAAAAAAGATAAAAGCCATATTTTCCAACCGAAGTCAACTTTTACTTCATGTAGCGCGGCGCCATGATTGTTTTGTTTTGAAGCAATCTGTGACCGTTACTTCTTTAAAATGAATTGCTTTAAACTGTTAGGTTGATTTTATCATCACATTGTTTTTCCACCAATCAGATCAGTTTGTTACAAATTTTTGCATTGTGATTACAGAAAATTGCACTGTGATTACAGAAAATTGCACTTCTATTTGGGATTAATTGCACTGAAATCAACCAATCACAGTCGAGTAATATTTTTTATGTATATTATTAACCATGTAAACAGAAAACTGCTTAGTGCTAACTGCGCTGTACATGTAACACAAATTTGAAAGCAACTATTGTGCAATGACCAAATGTAGGAAGTGTTTATATCCAATAATCATAAGTCAAGCAAAGTTATGCAATTTATATTGTTGCTGTACCGTAAACCTCCGATTATAAGCCCTGGGCTTATATACTTTCGCAAGCGATTTTTGATGGGCTTATACAAGGGGGGGGGGTACGGGGGGCATATACATGGACGATCTTTTGTGTTAGTAATAAACAAGTCAGACATAAACAAGTCAGTCATAAACAGGAAAATAAACATGTATTAAGCAGCGATTACTGGGCTTATATTAATTCCGGGACTTATAATCGGGGGACTTATATTCGGGGAGGGGGCTTATATTTGGAGTGAGGTGAGCGTTAATACATGTGGTGGGCTTATGCACGGGGTGGGCTTATATTCGGAGGGGGGCTTATAGTCGGAGGTTTACGGTATTATATTAGATGTTACGCTCAAGATTATTCTACTGCATTACTGCATGGTATTAACCAGCCTGTCATCCAGCTGATTAAAATTTTAGACAGCCATCTAAAAATTTGGATTGAAAATTGTCAAAAAAAATGTCTTTACGCCAAGAGATTCACCTCCGTGTAAGTAATACAGTGGATCCAGGATGATCTGGTAGGGGGGGCTGCCCTGCCAGTTCTGGTGCATAGTAGTGACAGTCATGTGTGCCGCTCGCCCATCAGCATACTGTATTTGAATTGTAATTGTTGTTCATATCATTGCTCAAAATTCTGTATCTACTGTATTATTGTATTTTGTCTCTATTATTTTTTTATCATAATAATAGCACCCCCTCCTGGCAGGGCTAGGGGGGTGCACCCTAATAACCTAATATTAAGGCCATGTTACACAAATAGGCAGTATTTGCTGCAACTTGCAATGCAATTTCTGATAAAGGCGAAGTGATTTAAAAATAAGTCACAGGGAAATTGTATGCATAGACCATATTTTACATTACTTTTATTTTTTATCCCATTTCTTTCATTTTTCATCCATTAAGAGCATGTCACATTGTAAAAAAGGTGTCAGCAGAACAGATATACAGAATGCTGGCCATGTTCAATTATGTCACTATTTTATATGTCAGGTTATGAACTTATGACATGCTTGATCAATGTTGTCATTGACAATGGTTCTTTGTCCATGTGTTAAGATGCGGTGCAGCCCTGAAGCTGCTAACTGTACAATGTACAATGTAAACCTTGCTGCCCACACTAATTTTTTCTACCAGCACCTTAGGGTCCATTTCAATCATGCAAAATAGCACAATGCAACACCTTAGTTTCCATCTTAATCATGCAAAATAGCACCACTATTCTTACATCATGAAATCTCTGACAATTCAACATGTTTATTTTGTTCTTTGTATGTTTGCATGGTGATAAAATATAATAGTTTTTTGTGGAAACACCACGTAAATTTATTACTGCAAAGCTTTCGATCCGTAAGCCTGGATCTTCATCAGTGCCATAGATTAAGTAAGAACAGATGTGTAACTTCAGTAAAAAGTTGTCCCACGGTCGCTATCTTCCTAGCAAGTGTCGCTCGCGTGATAATTCGTCATTTGGCAATACGTCATTGCTTTCAAGAGAGCTTTCAAAACCTTTTCTACAACGACCTGATGACGACTCACTTTAAACTTGCTGAACATGCGCAGTTGATCATTTTTCGCCTGGTCGCCTGAAAAAAAGTGGATACATGATAACGTAATCTTCCGCAGTGTTTACGACGGTCAGTTACGTCTCTGTATGTCTCTACTCTGTGATTAAACGGCACATCAACCACGTCATTTCAAACGTAGTGAAGTGATTCCAATTAACGCGCGCGCATCCAAGACAAGATAAATTAATTTTGCACATTAAAGAGAGCACGCCACGTACTATCTAGTGCCTTTCCCTCCTGATCTATAGTATTGTGCTTCTCGATTTCAATTGACTCTCTCATTTTGCGAGAGAACTTATGACTGTCAATCGCCAAAATGGTTGCTTCGTCCCATTTTATACGATGGTCGTAAGTCCAAGTATGTTTAGCCACAGCAGATTTATCTTGCTCGGCTTTCTCGCAATTCGTCTTGTGTTCCTTAAGACGTACTGAGAGATTTCGACCAGTTTCGCCATTGTAAACCAGACCACATTCACAAGGAATGCGGTATACACCAGGTTTCTGAGATTCATTTACGTTGTCCTTATGTGTACAAAGAGCTCGAAAGAATTTGTTTTCGCTGGAATGGTATACCTTTATACCTGCTTCATTCTTCAAAATTCTTTCGATTTTGTGTGAAGCCGGACCAATGTATGGTAGACAAACAGACGACTGATATTCAATCTTCTGCTGTATACTTTGTGGCGTTTTCATAGCATTATCTATGAAATGCCGTGGGTAACCATTCATTTTTAGAACATTTCTTAAATGTTCTAATTCATCGTCAACGTTACTTACCTCACAAATTGTTTTCGCCCGGTTGATGAGTGTCTTACACACAGAGTTTTTAATACTAGGATGATGAAAAGAATTGTAATGCAGATACCTGTCTGTATGTGTTGGTTTCCTATAAACCTTATGTCCTAGCTAGCGACCCATCATCATGTATAGTGAAAAGAACATCTAAGAATGGTATAGTTTTATCATCCTTTTGTACTTCAAAAGTAAACTTTATCGATGGTTTCAAACTATTAATATGGTCTAGAAACTTTTGTAAATTATCTAGTCCATGAGCCAGCTACTGAATGTTTCATCCACGTATCTGAACCAGAAACCAGGTTTCAACTTTGCAGTAGCTAAGACCTTCTTTTCAAATTCCTCCATGAACAAATTAGCCATTTGTCTAACATTTAGGGATCGCAGTAATTGGCGAAAGCTGTTGCGATTGCCCTACCAGTTTTTGTGTTAACGTTGTTTAAATCTGGCAAAGTTAATAAATAAATAACAGGCGACAATGGGAAGCCCAATGGGAAGCCCATTACCATTCCAAGATAAATCTGCTGTGGCTAAACATACTTGGACTTACGACCATCGCATAAATGGGACGAAACAACCATTTTGGTGATTGATAGTCATAAGTTCTCTCGCAAAATGAGAGAGTCAATTGAAATCGAGAAGCACAATACTATAGATCAGGAGGGAAAGACACCAGATAGTACGTGGCGTGCTCTCTTTAATTTAATGTGCAACATTAATTTCTCTTGTCTTGGATGCGCGCGCGTTAATTGGAATCACTTCAGTACGTTTGAAATGACGTGGTTGATGTGCCGTTTAATTAAATTTCAAATGACGCGAGCCAACAGATCACGACACTTTTGTATAAAAAAAGAGCGTGTGGACCATTGAACTAAAAATAACTGGAACGATACCTGCAACTGGAAATGTGAAGCCATGCCCAGGCATGCCCACTGTTGTTATGCCCAGTCTTTTCACGTAACGGAAAAACGCGGGTTTTTTAAATTTTCACAACTGGGTAAAAAAAATGCACTAAAACATCGTTTAAAACGACTTAAAATGCACCTGACAGTACATTTTTACAATAAAAAAATCCTTCAAAACTCTAGAGTAAAATATTTTTAATTTGTTTGTGTAGAAATCGTAATTAAATTTTCTTTTTTGAGAAAAAACGTCGAGCGAGGAGTGGAGCTTGCCGTGGTCTAATCATATAAAGTGTGAAATATTTGTGTGAAATTCCCTATTTTGCTCGTTCGTTTTCCAATTTATTCGTCTGAAAGTTAGGAAAAAGGTATTCTAACAAGTTCAAACTACCATCCACAGTTTAATTATGTTTGTAGTAGAGTATTTATTAAGTTTTAAAAGTACAAAATAACAAATATAAACATTAAAGTTGTTTTTTTGCGAATAAGTATTTCATGTTGCGATTATTCACATTCGGCAAGAAATACAAAGAAAAATAGGTACGCTAAGCGTACATGTATCTGCTCATGGTGATTGCACTTTTGCCAGGGCTTCAATCAACACTCAGTAGCTTGTAAAAAAATTTAAGGGACTGATGTTTAACAGTTGACCAATTAAACAAAGTTAGATTTATAGTATGTCAGATCAAAGAAAAATACAATGGCTGATATATATTCAACTTGCAGAAACTAATTCCGGCCATAACGTCACAAAGATGATATTCAATTTTATGATGTTCTTGTCGAATCATCTTAGTTTTATAATGTTCTTGCAGGGATGGATACAGCATGATCTGATAGAGGTAGGCGGGCCGCTCTGGTGCCGAGTTTCTGTATCTCATTCTGTTTCTAATAATTTTTGGTTTATCATGAAAAATAGGACCCCCCCCCTCCTGCACCCCCCTGGCCAGGGCTAGGGGGGTGCACACCCCCCACATCCCCCTCCCAGTAAATCCATCTCTGTGTTCTTGTTAAAACATTTCGGATTCCAAATCTTCTTGATAGTTCATAATAAACTTTAGCAGGCATGCGAGAACATGGTAGATGCATAGAAGTTGTCAGGATAACAGGTGGTGTCAATATACATTGTTGTTCATTGTTGATTCATTGACATTATTGACACTCCCCTGAAGGGGCTTTTCAGTGACAAAAAAATTACAAACACATAAACTTACTGTATTATTACTTCTTTAGTCCTAATTAATTTTATTCGGAAACAGATTACTAGCAAACAAGGAAAATTTCACAAAAACTGCGACCGAGACATCAACATCATCGACAACAACAACAACAACAACAACAACAACAACAACAACAACAACAACAACAACAACAACAACAACAACAACAACAACAACAACAACAACAACAACAACAACAACAACAACAACAACAACAACAACAACAACAACAACAACAGCGATGATAACACACCAACAGTAGCATCGACAACGCTTATTGATCAACTACTGAAAAACAAGTACTTAATAACTATCCAGGAATTGCTGGAGAAGTTTATGTCTTAGTTTTAACTTTACACTTTGCAGAGTTTTGGAAGCCTTCTTATACCATAATTGATACATAACATCAACATTTCTGCTGTTTATAATTGTTTTTAAATATAATCTATTTCCTTTTATAAAATGTCATAGTCAGTGTTGATGGCACACAAATCAACTGTTTATGCCTAGTAAATATATAAAATAGGTCATATATTGAAAGTCATTCATCAGCAACAAATGATGACAAGTATGGAAATTAGAAGTATAATCGATGCATATAGTTCTTGAATAGAATGATATAATTCAGCATAACAGATCCATGCAATAATATTTTGTCGTGGAAGAAAATCCACTAAACAGAATATTATGTTAGTTTTGTACTTTGTGTGCTATATTAAATAAGATCCCATTATGACATATGGTTGTTGTTGATTATAAGACAATATAGTATGGGATAGGTGAAGGGGGATATATTAAAATTGCTTAACTGGTGTTCTTGGCAATAACATTCAGTTGCAGAAATCAGGGTCGATGAAGAAGGGAGCACCCCGTCCAAGATATATAGTTGATAATTATGACTGGTTGCAACCGTTACTATAAGTGTTGATATTCCAATCTAAATCTAAAACTGAATCTCTGCTCTTTATGGAGCCACTATTACTTTAGCTTTGCTTTAATGAAAGCAATTATTATACTGCTATAAAGTGCTTTAAGAGATTTAAATGTTTCCAAAATGTGTGACTTAGCTTCTGACCTATCAAAGTCTGTAATGTAGCAAATGATCTATCAAAGTCTGTAATGAAAGCACAAACCAGTTGTCTATAGTTATAATCATTGATAAAGAAATTATGTAACCTTACGAAATTATATAGCCTTCTATTGGTTTCATTCAACTAATTTATATTAATTAAGTCCCCAATGAAAATGTTAAATTGAGAAGTACATAAACATCAACATCAACACTTACAACACGATATACACCAACAATGGCAACATGTGGAAGAATCATTACTTTCTTAATTTCATAATAGTATTCTCAAATATGCCATTAGTCAATAATTTTCTTGTCCAAAATTGCAAATAATTTCGTTTCCACTTCGTATTAAATGATGAAACCTTTCAAATGCTTGCCAAAAATGCACTATCGACATTTGCCATATTCAGACTAGTAAAATGACGTTGTTTTAAACTGCATTTGATTGATAATTTTAATCGTAAATTCACAAATTGCCTCTTGTTTCACCCTTTAGTAAGCCGCCATTTTGAAATTAGTATCATTACGTCATTTCATCTATAAGCTGTCGTTGATTGGCTATGAGCACGCTTACAAATTTCCGGTACGCGCACGATGGCAATATATCTGCTTCGCAGATACAAAAATAGGTACGCGACGCGTACATGTATCTGCGAAAAAACTTGACTCGCATTTTGTATTTTCTTGAAAGGAACAGAATAATGAAGATGACATGGGACAATAGACCTTATGCATAATGACGTCACAAGGCTTGATTGTATTGTATTGTATTAAAACTTTATTTAGAGACACTAGCCCCGTCAACGGTACGTTGGTTTCCACGGGGGGCGTCTACAATGTTAAAAATTACAAAAGATATAAGGGAAAAGAAGACTATTTACAAATTGGTGTGACCCCAGATGTTATGGTTAGACGGAGTTACAATTTATTTCAAATATATATAGTATTAGAGTTAAGTTTTAAATGGCTTTTGAACAGGTGCATTGATTCTGCCAGTTTCGTATCGATAGAGAGACTATTCCATAGCTTAGCCCCACTGTATTTAAAACTCTTTTTTAGGAATTCTCTTTTAGGCTTAGGAAGAGCCAAATCTGTATGACTATTTCTAAGATCATAATTTGTTTGCATATAATTGCGTCTTATCAAGGATTCTTTCAACGTAGGTCCTACGTAATCCTTCAAGACTTTAAACATTAATATTGCTTTGGTTGTACGTCGTCTTGTCTCTAAATTGTCCCAAGCAAGAGATTGAAGAACATCAGCAGATCTAATCTCATAACTTGCACCGACAATGATTCAAGCTGCGCGATTTTGAAATTTTTGGAGTTTATTTTCCAAATTTTGATCACAGACGCCCCAAATGGGAGAACAATAATCAAAATACGGCTGAATCAGAGCTCGATAAATTGTTTGAAGGGTGGTTATTGGAACAAAGGGTTTAATACGTCTCAAAGTACCCAGGCCTGCTCCAACCTTTTTGCAAATCGCCTGAATATGTGAATTCCAGTTAAGATTTTCATCTAAATCGAGACCAAGACATGTGAAAGAGTGAACTCTGGGGATGCGTTGGTTATTTAACATCACTGGATGATCAAAAGTTGTGGAATTAATATGATGTTTAGAGCCAAAGAACATTATTTTGGTCTTAGTTGGGTGGTGTTGTAATTTATTTCTAGAAAGCCAATCACCGATTCTACTCAGATCGTGATTAAGGTTTTCGGTTAATTCAATCAAACTGTTACCCTGGATTCCAGAGCCTTCGAAGTAAATAATAAATTGAAATGTCGCGAAGGCTCTGGTTCAACGGGGCGATTCTTTGATTGAACCGCGCCAATCACAAAACACAATTAGTGGTTTTAGTACAGAATCTGTACTAAAACCACTAATTGTGTTTTGTGATTGGCGCGGTTTAATCAAAGAATCGCCCCGTTGAACCAGAGCCTTCGCGACATTTCAATTTATTATTTACTTCGAAGGCTCTGGAATCCAGGGTATCAAACTGTTAGAGCTGCAGCAAATTTGGGTATCGTCAGCATATAAATAAGGAGTAGTTTTTTGAAGGCATTCGGGGAGGTCATTGATATAGAGTAAAAATAACAGTGGACCTAAAATAGATCCCTGCGGAACCCCAGAAACAATCCGTTTTGACGATGACATTGAATTATTAACAATACAGACTTGCTCCCTATTATTTAAGTAAGACTCAAACCATCTTAACTCAATATCCGATATACCGAATTGATCTTTTAATTTATGAAGCAGAATATTATGATCAATTGAGTCGAAGGCTTTACGAATGTCAAGAAAAACAATGCCGCTCAATTGACCATTATCCATATTTTCATAAAGAGTATCGCACACCTGAGTTAGAGCGGTGAGAGTTGAATGTTTAGGCCGAAAACCATGTTGATGTTTTGAAAGAAGGGAATTGTCATTAAGAAATTTATAAATTTGATTAAAAACGCATCTCTCAAGTATTTTACTAACAATGGGTAGTATCGAGATAGGGCGATAATTCTCGCATTTCAACCTGTCATCAGATTTATAAATGGGTGTAACTCAGGCTTTTTTCCATTCATCCACATATTCTCCTTTTTTGATCGAAAGGTTAAATATCCAAGTTAATGGCGGACCAACAATGTCCGCGGATATTTTAAGAGCTTTAGCAGGGATGTTATCTAATCCTGTGGATTTTGAAATTTTGAGACTACGCAATTGATATATTACTTCGTCCTCGTTAATTTCAGAAAATTTGAAAAAAAGATTGGAGTCGGTAGTAGGCCTAGAATCTCCGCGAGCAAAAGAATTTGTGTTGAGGGAATTATCTTCAATTTCAGCTGCAAGTTTTGCCCCGATATTGACAAAGAAATCATTAAAAGCCTCAGATTTCAATTTATTGTCTGAAATGACAGAATTATCCGTTTTAAGTTGGGATATCGTGTTTGATTTCACATTTTTACCCATGAGGTGGTTAATTAAATTCCAACTTTGCTTTATGTCTTTGGACTGACACAATCTTCTATTTTATTGCAGAAATAGTTTCTTTTAGTTTTAATTAGTTCAGCATTAACTTTGTTTCGTAATTCCTTATATTTTGTCCAATGACTTTGAGAATTATATCTAACCGCTTTTATTTTGTGGAAGTTTCTTGATCTCATTATACCCTTGATGTCTGAAGAAATCCAAGGGAGAGAATTTCCACGAGTTCTCATACGTCTAAGGGGAGCGTGTCGATCAAGGACCTGGAGGTATAGTGATTTCCATACCTGCCAGCATACATTAGAATTGTCATGTTGGGCAATGTTCTCCCACGGCATCTGTGAAAGATCCGTAAGAAAATCATTGGCATTGAAATTTTTAAATTTGCTATCCGAACACCAGTCGGGGTTTCGTTCTTTGCATTCAACGGCTACGGCTTTACTTGAGGCCACTGATAGTTGGGCTTACAATATTGACCGCGGCAATATTAATGCCGTGGTATTTCTAGACCTGAAAAAGGCTTTCGATACGGTCAACCATGAGATCTTGTTGTCTAAACTCAGAAACTATGGAATTCACGGAGTTGCCTACAAATGGTTTAAGTCATATTTGGAAGACCGTAGGCAGAAATGTTTTGTTAACGGGTCACTTTCAAAAAAATGTAGTCTTAAGTGTGGAATTCCTCAAGGAACGATCCTAGGACCGCTCCTGTTTCTGGTATTTATTAATGATTTACCAAATTGTTTATCTAATTCTCATCCCAGAATGTATGCAGATGACACTAATCTTACATATTCTGGTAGCGATACAAACACTATTCAATTTCATCTTAACGAAGACTTGGAAAACATTAATGAATGGTTAATATCAAATAAACTTACTTTAAATATGACTAAAACTGAGTACATGTTAATTGGGTCGAGACAACGTTTAAGTACTCTTTCTGACAATCCTTCTTTTGAAATAAATGGAATTCCTTTAGATCGAGTTTCGACAAAAAAATCACTTGGTGTCTTATTAGACGAAAATCTTACTTGGAGTAGTCATATCAATAAAATGACAAAACGAATTGCTTCTGGTATCGGTGCTATTAAGCGGTTGAGGTCATTTGTTTCATTGGGAACATTGCATGTTATTTACCAAGCTCTAATACAACCACATTTTGATTATTGTAATGTCGTGTGGGGAAATTGTGGGAAAACTTTATCTAACAAACTTCAAAAACTTCAAAACCGTGCAATGCGGGTGTTGACCTTTTCCAACTTTGACGCCGATGCCAATAGCTTATTGGAAAAGCTAGGGTGGGATGATCTAAACCAACAACGCCAATTTCAAAAAGCATTGATGGTTTTCAAATCTTTAAATAACCTTGCACCCGAATATCTATGTTCTAAATTTACTAATCGCAATAATGTAACTTCTTATATACTTCGAGACTCCGTGAACAAACTTGCTGCTCCTTTACCCCGCACCAATTATCTTAAAAATAGCTTTAGCTATAGTGGTGCAGTGCTATGGAACAGCTCACCTAGCAATATAAGACAAGCGGAATCTCTTACTGAATTTCGACAATTGTTGAAACATCATATTCGATAGACACGGCATTCATGGAAAACAGGTATAAATATTATTGTAACATAGGCGTGAAAAATTTTTTAAACTTATTAATGTATAGATAACTTTTTTGTAAACCTGATGAAGCTACCGTGCTTAAATAAAGATTTGACTGACTGACTGACTGACTGACTGACTGACTGACTGACTAAAGTTACGAATATGTTTAACCTTTTCCCGTGATTTGGCCATGGAATACAATGTTTTCTAATAGCGAAAATCATACTGTGATCAGAAAGTCCAAGGTGTATGACACCAGACTTTGAAATATTTTCCTCTTTATTTGTCAGAATTAGATCAATTAGAGTTGCTGATGTTCCAGTAATCCTTGTGGGTTCATCAATAAGCTGATCGAACTGATAAAGTGATGAAAGGAACTGTAGCTTGCGAGTATGAGACTCACAAGGAGATTTCAAGATATCACAGTTCAAATCACCCATAATTATTACCTCTCTATTTTCTATATCGCTATTTCTTAAAAAAGTCTCATATTCATCAAAAAGAGCAGATTGCGAGTTAGGAGCTCTATACCAAGTGCTTACTAAAAATGACTTATTGTGAGGTTTACTAATTTCAATGCATATCATTTCTAGTGAATCAGATACTAAGTCATTTCGTTCAGAAAACGGTATAGAGTCACGAACTGCGAGTCATTGCCCTGGAAAATTTCTATAGTGGCCATTTTGAATTGTTTAATTTTCCCGGGCGATAACTACTAAGACCAGCATTCCTCAGTGGCATCAAGCCTTGTGACGTATTATGCATAAGGTTTATTGATATATTTCATCACTTATTATAATAAATATAATAGCAAATAAGATTTTAAAGTCATACATAATACACATCTAACATGGCTGTACACATATAGCGGGGAGAGCAGCAGGGGCAACTGTCCCCCCACCCCCCCCCCCCCCAAGAAAATTTAACTAATTTTATCATGTAATTATGATTGTAATGGATAATTATGCAGCCAGGAAATAAAAATGTCATGCAAAATTTTATAGTAATCATATGAAGCAAACATTCTGTCACTTGTTGTTTACACTTGCCAATGTTAACTATTGAGTAACATACACAAACTATTTGAGGAACTTGCATTACTGTAGCAAAGAATTCAATCATATATCGAAGACCACTGAATAGTAGAGAATGTTTTGAAGGTCATGAGTGAAGTATATAATTCAATTCCAGTTTTGTGCAGAATTAATAATAGGCCACACTGTTCGGTTTAACACAGCATATCCACACAAAAACAATTTGTGTTGTGGGAGCAGATCGGTTTGAGTAGAAGTATCACAAGTTTAGTTTTGTACATTGTGTGCCATTGATCAGATCCATCCATATAATATATGATTATTCATTGTAGCTGTTAAGTTATTTTCAATACTAATGCATTTAGGTAAGATTGTCTTGCAAGTGGGTTGTTCTGACAAAATTATCTAGCCAATATCCAGTACATTTATTCATCATTCTTGTATTATAAATCTCTAAACAAAAAGTTAAACATTTATGTTAGAAAGCAAAATGACAATGTAATGAGGCTTAGGAGGGTGAGGATTCTTTTATTTGAAAATGTTGGTAAAAATTTTGTTAAATTAACTCTAATGTGTAAAACCAAAATGTATAAGTATTTTAACTGATAACATCTTCAACCTTTACTCTAACACTACATTTGATGACAGCTTTATAGTTGGACTGTTGTTTTGAACAGAGTTACAAAGTCAATATACAGAAATACAGGACCAGAATTTAATTCAATATCTCCTGAGAATGTTTTCACTGTTTAAAATATTACAGAAGTCACAGAAGGATTGTTTATAATACTGTATAAATCTTTTTGTGAACTACAGTATGTTAATAAATGGCTTAAAAATAGTTAAAATATCCTAGAAAATATCCAATATTTTTACAGTGTAATATATTAATAAAACAATTCCAGAGTGCATTCCATGTAAACTCTACGCCGAAGATACGGTAATATTAACTATAGATACTGATAGTATAGTAAATATTTGCCGAACTGGCGAACTCATGTATTATAAAATATATGGGACATATATTTGCACAAATTTGGTATTTAAATATATGATAATTATGTGGTATTTGACTACTTACCAGATGAGGATAAGATTCCATGTTGATAAATAACTTCGGAATAATGTCTCAAGTAGAATGGCGAGAAAAAAAGACGGCCAATTCAAGATAATTAGATAAATTGACAAAAATATCAAGGTATTTTTGAAAGAATATAAACACGATTTATACACGAGGCCTGACGAGGCTAAAGTATGCCCGTTCGCAGGTTAGATGCGGGCACGATGTAAACAATTGATGTAAACGAATCGCTGATTGGCTTAAAAAGTGGTCAACGAAGGCAAACAAAGTGATAGATACAGACTAAATAAACTTGTCTTGTTTAACAATCAATGAAGTTGTTCTAAATACATATTTAATACGTTTATAAGATAAAGAATTACTTATCTTTCTCAAGTGTCATCTGCATATAAACGTCCAGTCATTCAAATATGCACTTGTTGTCTCCAATCGGTTACTTTCGTCCTTGCAATTTTAGTCGGTAGGGTTCAAGATATGTTTTAAATGCACTTCTAATACAAAAATATAGCTTAAAACCCTAAATAAACGACAATATTCGACCCATTCGCCCAAGAAAAAAACATTCAAGTCACTGTCGAAATGGTCTCGCGAGAATGTCTCGCAACACAAACGAGCGTGTCTGGAGGTAGAACACGCGCGGCTGGAGGTAAAATTTGGCTTCATCCGATCATAAGCCAAACCTATTGGAGGTAGCGTTCCAGGTATTTTTAGTTCACTGGTGTGGACATAGTTTAATGATATTCAGTTGTGTAACTCGCGGAATTTCCTGTCCCCCCAAGGTTAATGCGCATGCGCGAAGCAAAAGACCGTGTCATGTTTTTTTTTGTCTGGAAGCATATGGGAAAATACAAAATTTGGACACTAAAACAACGATTTTAAAGAATATATCCATCAGGAATGCTGGACTTTCACAAATTTGGCAGGAAGGGATGTCATTCTAAATTTTCCACAAGAAAATGCCTTAAAGAATATGTTGATATCGATAAAAAATGAAATTATATGACTCGAGGAGTGAGAAGTGCCATGGCCCATGACGTCCATGCTTCAAATGTGAATACGAAAAACACAGACAAAGTTTCAGAAACTATAAAGCATGTACACTTAAAAGTACTACATTCTGGGAATAACGATGTATGTTTGAAAATATTGTTTGGTTTTTGGTCAACGCTGAGCCGGAAGCCTCGATGATGAAGTTTTTCGATTGTTCGAACGTCAAGAACCCTTGCCAGTTTCGGGTGAGTTTCTTTTACCGTTCGTGTTGTTTTTGGCATGGAAGTTGCAGAATAGTTTGGACTTAGGTTAGGGGGCTATATTTTAAACCAATGTAAAATTGATTTCTTTTATACTTTGTCTTTTTTAAGTTTAAAGCCGGTTCGTGCAGACACGAAGAACATAGACTGCGGAGATTTTAGCCACTACAAATCAATTTAATCACGAAGAGGAATTATGTTTTTAAATTTTTAAAAACAAATGACTTTACAACATTCTAAAAGGACAACTATATGGGAAAGGTTGTATGCTTGGTTTTCTTCAATATACAGTAAAACAAAATGAGTTTTTAGAATTTAATGTAGAGAGTCTAATATTATAGTATCATATTATTTTTCAATCCTGTATAATCATATAATGATTTAGGTAGAATTGCGTACTAAATAGTAAAATATATTAACGAAAACTAAATGCCTATTAAGTAGGCTGGTCTGTTTTGTTGTGAAATTTATCTTATATTTGAAGTATTAAAAAATTATGTGCTCCATACAAATGTGTATTTAATGTGTATGAATATATACTTAGTTTTTGTGGCGTGTACATTTAGCTCTGTCGCCTATGCGGTATATGTACGAAAGGCTGCGAAAGTAAACAGAATACTTACATTTACAGTCATATTATTAAATAAAACTAAATATTATTAAAATGGATAAAAAGTCATTTAAAAAGAGTGAACATTGTACAGTACAATGGCGGAAAAACGGGATTGTTCAGCTAGAAAACGGAAAAGTGGGACGACTTGGTGCACGGCACCAAATTGTAAGAATAACAAAGAAAAAATCCAGATTTATCGTTTTTCCGCTTCCCAAAAGATATAAGCAGGTGAGACACGCTAAGGCTGTGAAGATACGCTAAACTGCAGTGCAGGTGATTTTTAATTATCTTGTACGAGAAGGTTTTTACACAATTTACTGTAGTAACATGCACATTTTTATCTGAATTCATACAATATAGATCCAAAAGATGGGCCGTAAACTGCAGAAGAAATGACTTAATAAAAAGGGACCCAGGATCTATATGCAATCTTAAAATATGTGGCGACCATTTCGAGGAAGAAATGTTTGCCAGCAAAAAAAGATTGAAAAGTGAAGCGTTTCCTACCCTTTTTAATATCCCAAATCCACCGCCAAAAGTTGGTGCAAAGCGAAGGCTACTTGTCCGGGAAGAGCCGCCAGAAAAACATAGTAAGGAAAATAAAGCAAACATGATTTAAATTTTTCACAAAAAACTTAACTAAACAAAAATTAGGCAAAATAATGTTCAAAGAGTAACAAAAACAATCTTTCGCTTTGTATTGTATCATCAAATACGGATTTAATATTAATTTTTACTGTAATGGCGACACACTGACTTTACAGAAAAATTAATTTGCACTATTTACAAACTACAGTAATATATACTTTGCGAATCATTGAATACTTTTACATTTGATTTCCTAGAAAAAAGGGAAATTGGGGAAGTAATTGACAAATCCAACGAACAACAGCCACGTAAAGTTGCTTGCAAAGTATATTCCAATGATCTTGAAATAACTGCATAAATTGAATTTTTTGTCAGCAGAAATGAAACCACAGTAAAATTACTAACATAACCTGAGTTTTTAGATTGTGGATTAAAACCTGTACCTGCACAACAATTCATACATGAAGTTACAGACATAGACTATTTTGATACAGGTAATGAAGAAACACACTATAAATAAACTGCATGTAGTGATATTACTATGGCTGGGCAAGGCCAGGCATGTCAAGGACATACAGTACCTATTCAGTACCCCCCTCTACTTACATATACTGTAATAGACAAGGGGTGGGGTGGGAGGGGGTAGGAATTAGGGGTGCACCGGAACCAATTTTTTAAGTTTCGACCGGATTTGGCTGGAATTGGTTAATCAAGCCACACATACTCATATGTTACTTTGTCTGCTGCCAGACAGCCAGGCACTTCAACTGATCAAGGCGAGAGCTAGCAAATGTTAGAATAAAAAGACTGACAAACGTTAAACATCATAATGAAGTGTTAACGGTATATATTTTCCTTGTGTAGTCCAAATTTCTCTTTACTGCGAACTTTTGTTAGGCTGTTCGATATTCAAATGTTCGATATTCTATCTCTCTTAAAATAACAGAGTTCCAGTTCCGGCAATGTCTTTTTATTAGTTCCAGCCGGAACTGGAAATATGAAAAATCGGGGTTCTGACCGGAACTGAGTTCTGGACTGTGGTGCACCCCTAGTAGGGATATAGCACTAGTAGCACTATATAGCTGTAAACTATCTAAACTTCAAAATTACATTGCTTAAACATAGTCAGCTATATTATACACAGCCCTCGAGAACGAGGTCGGCATTGCCACCTATCAACTTCCCAGGTTGGCAAATTTTTGCCGACCTTAATTCAGCCAAAGTAAAAATTTGTTGGTGCTGATTGCTGTTAAAACGTCATTGAAATATAGAATTCGATTCATAGTTTGAACTGAACACACTTCGGTGTCAGGTTTAAAAATTGACGGGTATTCTATATATAATTTAGGTAAGATTCCAAAAGAAAAGTCGTCGTGTTACTATAGTTTGTGTTTCCGCAGAAAAAGGCATGCTTTATATTCTGATTTCAATATTCGCGAATACCTGATTACTAGTGCTACAAGACATGGAAACAGATTTTAAAAAATGTCGAGACGTGTCAACCTACAGTAGATTAGATTTAGGTCTGCTTTTTTTGCTGACCTCAATTTTGACGGTTTTCGAGGGCTGTATACATACATGAATCTGAAGTTATTACAAAAAAAGGTATATAAATGTTATTTTCAGACTCTGGGCTGAGCACCCATACAGTTCCATCAACTAGTACTCCCACTGTGAACATCAACATTCCTTTAAATTATTCAAGTACAGAGTCTTCAAATTCAGTTAATGATGATGATGAAGTTACAGGTATGACACCAAGAACTCTTCTTCAAAGGATCTCCTGCAAAAAATATTTTAACCAATTAGATTTCTGAACAGCTTTAAAAATGAATTAATCAATGTCCCACTAATATTTAGGTCCTTTCTTAGGTCCATCCTCAAGACCAATGCAAATTGACTCTGGAACACAACACAATCCTGTTGAACCTACTAATCAAGGTTAAGCTTTGTTAAGGTCATTTACTGTACTTTATAATTTTTAGTGAGGCTAATAGTATTAACACTATTTCTTTTATCAATTACAGGTGGTACTAGTAAAACATCTAATTATGCTAAGCAGAAAAAAGTGAAGAAGGTTTATGCTCGGCAGAAGAAAAGAATACAACGACTCCGTAAAGCTTTAAATATGAAAAAGAAGAAAAGCAACAACATAGATAAGCATACCATATTAGAGGCTCTTCAGACCATGCTACCAGAAAATATTGTAACATTAATCTCACTCCAGATAGACTTGCACAAGAAAAAGAATAAAGGGCAACGATACAGTCCTGAGATGAAATCATTCGCTCTTTCCCTTTATTACATCAGTGGAAAGGCGTACAAATTGTTGTCGAAATTCTTCAAGCTTCCATCCAAAAGTAGTCTGATGAAATGGGTAGCTGCATTTCCAACTGCTCCAGAGCTGACCTCAGCTGCAAAGGAAGTTCTAGCCAGAAAAGTCAACATTATGAGCGAGTCCAGTAAGTTGTGCACTATCACAATGGATGAGATGGCCCTTAAGGCTAACCTGTTGTATGATCCTGGTAAAGATCAAGTCATTGGTGTTGAAGATTTTGGTAAGGGAGAGAGAAGCAGCCTCATTGCAACATCTGCACTAGTCTTCATGGCCCGTGGTATAAATGAAAA